GGATTTAATTGCAAATGCAGAGGGAAGCCCTATGAGTTTTAAATAGAAGGATGATGTGCTATAATTCTTGATTTTATTTTTATTTTTAAAGATTTTATTTATTTATTTGACAGAGACACAGCGAGAGAGGGAACCCAAGCAGGGGGAGTGGGAGAGGGAGAAGCAGGCCTCTCCCCAAGCAGGGAGCCAGATGCGGGGCTCGATCCCAGGACCCCGAGACCATGACCTGAGCCGAAGGCAGACGCTTAATGACTGAGCCACCCAGGTGCCCCTAATTCTTGATTTTAAAATGATCATGGTGAGGGGCTCCTGGCTGGCTAAGTCAGTGGAGCATGCAACTTTAGATCTCGAGGTTGTAAATTCAAGCCCCATGTTGGATGTAGTGATGACTTCAAAAAATAAAACAATCATTTTGAAAGGTATGCAGAGAATGACTCCTTACCCATTACCTGCAGGAGGTGGTGTGATCTGTCATCCTCTCCGATTTCATTTCCTATCTTTTTCTTGTCATGCTTCACTTACATTGGTCTACTTTCGGATTTTTTTTCCTTTTCTCTTTTTTCTTCTCTTTGCTGTATGCCACTCTCTTGCCTTAGGGCTTTCACCCATGTTGTTCTTTCTGCTTTTAAACTTCTCCCCATGGCAGTTCCTGTAACTGTTTAGTTGTCTTCTTCACTTTTCTTAAGTCCAAAGAGGGCAGGACTGCATCTTTCCATTTACTTTTGCATACCTGGTACCTAACACAATGCCTTCTACAAAGCAGCACTCGTATTTGTTGAATAAAACTAATCATTACTGTTTTCATTTGTGCATTAAAAAAAATTAGTGCAGAAGCTCTATGTTAGGTTCTGTGAGAACGTACAAAGAGTTTGCAGTACACAGTTCTTAACCTGAAATAGTTCCAGTTGAAAAGGAGAGATAGGATCAGCTATATTGTAGCATGGAGGAGGACACTGTAGTTGGAGTAGTTTACAGTTCTGTCATTAACCAGCTGTGTGACCTCAGATAAGTTATTTCCTTCTCTGTTTCTTTCCTTAGCCGTCTCTAATATTAAGGGGTTTGGCTAGATTTTCCTGAGGTTTTGGTTCTCAAATCTGGTGTGCAGTGAATGATGCATTGGTTAAATTATTTTTTTTTCCCCAGGCTCCATCTCTGGAGAGTCTGATTCAGTGGGCCTGGGGTGGGGTCCAAGAATTCTCCAGGTGATTATGATGCACAGCTAGGTTTAGGAACCACTGATCTAGGTCTTCTTAGCTAGACTATGAAGGTGAAGCCGGAATAGGCAGGTTAAGGTGTTGTGTTTGTTCAGAGGCAGGGAAAATAGTTTTTTGCTTCAGTGATGAGGGGGACTTAATGGAAATGGTGGTGTTGAAAATGGGCTTTCAAGAGTGGATGGAGAGATGGGCGGGTGAAGAAGGGAAGCATGACTGGTGTTCAGTCCAGCTCAGTTGGAGGCCAGAGTCTGTGCAAGGGAGCAGGAGGGAAAAACCCACCAGTTATGATGCAACGGACCAGAGTTTGAGTGTTGTTTTCCCCACTTTCCCTGTCATACTTGGTTGTCCTTTTGGAGATGAAAGATTCTATTATTGCAGCTCAATCCTCATTTGGTAGACGTGAGACATGGGGTGGCAGACAGCATGGGGCTGCTTTGGAAAATAATTGGGTGTATTCTTCCTCATGTCTTTTGGGGCTGTGCCCTTTGAGATCCTCTTTGACCACCCCATTGGTTTTCTGGTTAGACACACAGAATACCAGGACCCACTATGTTATCTAAAATAATAGTTTTGCTGTCAGAATGATTATTATTAAACCAAAGTTGGTCTTTTTGTTTAGATGAAACCATATAAAGGCAACATTCTGAGTAAATTATATAGCATCCACATGATGAAATAATGAGCCTAAGTTTAGGGGATGAAAGTAATGATCTAATGCAATATTTAGAATGGATATACAGTATGTAGTTATTAACGTAAAAGTCACATCCTGCATTCTTTTGATTTGTGGAAAATTTGTCATTAATTGCCAGGAAGCCTGATTTTTCATACATAATCACGTCATAGCTGTTGACTTTCTTTCCCTTCTCCTGCCTTAAAATACTTCATTGTAAATAGTAGATTACTCTCAGATTTGCAATGCCCCTTTTAAACAGTGGGTTGCTAAGTTTAGCCCTGTTGCTCTCTATTTTTTAAAAATAGAATTCTTTTTCCCCCCAGATTTGCCTCTGAATAGTTACTGACAAATCATGCTTTGTTTTTGGGTGGCCGTGGCTTAAAATCTTATCTAACCTTTCTGCCCAGTGGGAGCCTGCTAGTTCTGAAATGCTTTTTGTTTTCATGAGTTACCATTGTGTGGAAGAAATAGATAGAGATCCCATTTAGAAATAGTCTATGAGATAAGTTTTGAGTGTCCATTCAAACTTACTCTAAATAGGGCTACTTTTATGAAATAGTTGTCAAAGATACAGTTTAGCAAGGTAGGGTCAGAAACACAGAAGTCAAAATTGAGAAGAAAGAAAGAGGTCATGAACCAGAAATGAGGCAGTCAGGCTGATCTCCAGCCTAGAATCCAGTCCATACCTACTCCTGTCAACCATCTCGGATCAATCTAGGATTCACAGGTTAACCTGTGATCATCCAGTCAGTCCTACCTCTTTTTTTTCTTTTTTTTAAAGATTTTATCTATTTGAGAGAAAGAGAGAGCAGGAGCAGGGGGAGGGGCAGAGGGAGAGAAAGAGAGGGAGAAGTAGACTCCCGGCTGTTCAGGGAGCCCAATGTGGGGCTTGATCCCAGGACCCTGGGATCATGACCTGAGCCGAAGGCAGATGCTTAACCACCTGAGCCACCCAGGAACCCCAATCCACTACCTCTTGCAGCTATGCTGATGTTGGTCTATTGCCTAGCAGTTGACTTTGAAATTAAAAAAGTAGAAATACCAAGCCTCTTATGATTCTTTGCTTGCAAAGAATTACCTTTATTAATGTGGATCCAGCACCAGAGCAACTTGGAGAGTGACTTTCACCGGAATTTATTTGAAAGGAACAAGCCCCATCCCCACTCCCAACAGAGCTAGATCCAAGAAAAACCTTTCTTAGAGAAAAACCTCAGACTTGAGAAAATGTCCCCAATTTCAGGAAGAGCTTTTATGGGAAAATGACTACAGTTGCATCTCTGGTATCTGCCAGACTGTTAAGAAGAGTAATAGTCAGAGGTGTAGACCTGGGAAGCAAATATAAGACCATTTACTATTTTGCAAATTGTGTTTTGTGTTCATGCTGCCCAGGGTGACATTGGAGACCAGCTTCTGCTTCAACAAGAACACTCGGGTTATTACCTGCTCACATATTAGGATTTCATGCATTATTCGGTGTGATACAGGAGTTCTGCTTTAAAAAAAAAAAGATTGAAAACCATCCGTTTTGGTCAAATGCCCAAGATTTTATAGAGAATGTGTCTGAAGGTCAAAATAGTTCAATTAAATACCTACAGTTGTACAACTACTTAGAGTCGACAGAAATGAAAAACCCTGAAACTGGACTTCCCATCCAGTGCATTTTTTACTACAAAATGTTGATTTGATTTTCCATTTTGAAAGACACAGAAGTGATCTGTGAGATGGTGATTAGCGCTAGGCAGCCCCAGGCAGCCCTGGAATGCTCCGTGGTTCAAATGCCCGAGACCAGATGGAGGTCCAGAAGTGGATGACTCAAGGTTTATTAGTTTTGCCACCTGGGTGGTACAGCCGAACCAGCTGCCATAAGGCAGTTCCAATTTCAACAGAGCAGTAAATGAACATAAAAGTGAGGGTCAATCCCACGAATAAAGGAAAGCAGAGTGCTGCTCTAGGAGATTCAAGCAGGCTGAGCCCTATCGATAGGCTGTGTGGGAGGCAAGCCGCCGGGCCAGGTAGAGGCCAGTCACAGGTTGCCTCCCCAAGCCCTGAAAAACCACCCCTGGAGTTGTTGCAGGAGCCAAACTCAGTTTGGGATCTGCTTGACTTGCTGGTTTGGGAGGCTCCCCCTCACATTGATGATCTAGGATGGGAAAATGAGCCCATGGTATATCATGATTATGTTATGAGCCAGAAGCTTTTTTTCTGGGAACTATGGATGGTTGTTATTAGGTTTGTCTTTCCATAGTTTGGGCCCTAGGAGGCATGTTCCATTTGTGGGAACAGAAGCTCCTTGTGGCGGGTCACTGGGAATCAAGTTCATTATCCTCATGTTATCCTCAAATGGAATTGAATTATTGTAGGTTTTCAAGCTATGTGTATGAAATACTGCAGGAGTCAGAGGTTGACTCTAAGGTTTTAGGTGACCCCTTTAATAGATCTAGGGCTTTTGAAAACTGAACTAAGTATAATAATGAGGGTGTGGGGTTAGGACTAAGTTGAGAGGGGTAGAGCACTTTTTGTGTAAATGAGGACGATTCACTGAGGAATTTTAAGAAGTCAAATAATTTGGATCCTCTGTGTCAGTAAGAATGCTTTGGGCAGCTAGTAACAGAAAACTTGACTGAACCAATATAAACAAAATAGAGGTTTATTATTGTTATTTTTGTCATGAAATGAGAAATTTAGAGGAATATGGCTCATGACTGGTTCAGCTCCTCAGTGATGACAAAGGCTCTTTTTTTGTCATCTTGACCCAAAGTAAAAGGATGTGGGTGAAAAGGGGAAAGGAATGTACTGGTTGCTGATGTATTTTGCTGTGGTCTTGATGCTAAAGACTGGCCCAAGGTTTTATCTACAGGGTCGACCCCTGTCTTCAGGTAATCTTTTCCAGAGCCCAATGTTATTCATACTTAGTCTCATGCAATAATGTAATACTGCTCTTCCTTTCTTTGTATGATGATGCCCGTATATTTGCTGATCTGTTTGGAGTTGCTTCTCTCTCTCTCTCTTTTTTTTTTTTTTGCAATGACATGAAGTGAATTCAAATGAGAACTTTCGTAGTATAACCTTCTGCTTGTGAGTAAACTACCTTTTTTTTTTTCTCCTGGCAGGTGGCATGTTTGACCCAGGTAGCTGCTAATTATCTTATTGGCCAAAAGGAAGCAAAACGTTGGGGCACAGCTCACGGCAGTATTGTTCCTTACCAGGTAGGAATGATACACACAACATAGGGTTGGGCTGCTCTGATTTGCAGTTTTGTATGATGAGTTTGGGAGATTATTTCTCTTTTTAAGAAAGAAAAACTTTTAGGATATTCTGTTATACATCTTTGTCTGACTATAACAAGGTTCTGTTGTTTATTTTAAATTCTGTGTTTTGCACATTTCTTCATCAGAAGATTAGTAACAGGATGCTTAAATGGATCAAAGGAACTTGCTGAAAGTGAGTGACTTTTGGCCTCATTTGATGGTTTTTTTTTTTTTCACCCCAAAGAAGCACTGATTGTAGCCATTTTATAAAGCATGGTTTGTTCACCATGTCAGTTATAAACCAAATGTTACCTACCCCAGCTGACAATAATATTCTCACAGGGCTGGAGTAAAATGAAAATTTGCGTGTGACGGATCTTTATTTTCAGAGCAAAGCAGATGGTTCAGGAACTGCTGTTCTTTATTAAGTGTCTAAACTTGTCCTTAGAAATTCTTGACGTTGGCTAGTGTGAATGAATATGTGAAGGAACTGTGATCCTTCGCAAATAAAAATGAGAACAGAAACTCCAACTCTTCTTCCAAACCCCTAACCTTTGCTTGACTCGATTGTATCATTTTCCACTGTATTTACTGATGTATCTGTAATGTCTTCTGTCAGAGTTGGAAGTTTAAGAGTAGAGGTGTCTTTTTTTGTTTTTTTTAATCACTGTATCCTTTCTCACATCTACGAGCAAAAGCTCGTACCAGGCACCGTATTAATATCTGTTGAAGGAAGGAGTGAATTTTACTGCGGCCATTTCAGAGCGAGTGCTCTTGACGGAGCACATCAAAGCTAGCATTTTCCATTTGCCAGCAAATCCATCAACACTGCTAATCACCCTTTTAGTCTTAAGAACATCATTTCCTTCGGCCACACTACTTTCTTTCCCATTTCTTTTAATAAAAATTTGAGCAATTCAGTGACCCAATGTGAGTCTAGAATTTTTCTCCATTTCTATTTATGGTCTCTTTACACGTGAGGTGTTACTATGATTTCCCTGTAGAACTGCCTTTTGACATAGTTACAGTTGTAGAACATTTTCTTTAGTGCCTTCCCTCTTTCCTCCAGCAGTGCTTTTATTTATTTATTTATTTTTTAGAAGATTTTATTTATTTGACAGAGAGAGAGACAGTGAGAGAGGGAACACAAGCAGGGGGAGTGGGAGAGGGAGAAGCAGGCTTCCTGCTGAGCAGGGAGCCCAATGCAGGGCTCGCTCCCAGGACCGTGGGATCATGACCTGAGCTGAAGGCAGATGCTTCACCGACTGAGCCACCCAGGCACCCCCAGCAGTGCTTTTATGACCAGCATTAGTGACATTTTGGTTCCCTACTTCTGAGCCCTTTGTGGCTACCCTTACACTTCTAGCCAGACCTACCACGCTTCACAAAAGTGTCAATTTTGCACTTTTTAGCTATCATCAAATTTAGCCTTCTCACTTCTCAGATAGGAAATTTGATACCTGAATTGCATAGATGGATCCCAACTCTGATCTGCCTCCTTGTTGACTAATCCTTCAGATCCTGCTACCTTTGACAAGAGTGTGCTATGATTCCAGTGCCTTCTCCTCCAACCCACACCCTCTCCATCAGACTTGCTCCTGGCTAAAGGGTTGCATCAACTAACTGATCCTCCTCATTGATGATGGAAATCCCTCTTATAGGCATTTAAGCAGAGGGACATGTTGGAACCCCTGGGAATTCATCACTAATAATGGAAGTCTAGTCTTCAGTTTTTGGTGTGTGGAGAAAGTGTTTTTGACTTGGAAAGCTTTATAGTACAATTCCACATCACATCACGTGGGAGGTGTTCACTATGTTCTAGTATAAGGTTTACAGTTTATTTATTTTCAAAGAATGTCTTTTTAAAAAGTGTGGTATAGACCTCTGCTGTCCCTCCTGAGGGTTTGCTCCAAGAGCTCTGGCATCTTGGATGTGCTCTCAATTATTTCACTGTGCCGTAAAATGAAATTTAGAATCCTTGGCTTTTATTACGGTAGGCAAAGGATATGGGAAACTCCGTGTGTGTGTGTGTGTGTGTGTGTGTTCTTTAAAGACAGAACTATACTTTTCCTGCTTGAATTGTCCCAGTCACATAAAGTGGATACTGTGCTGATTTGATCCAGTTGATTGCAGCTTTATTATCTGTAAGAAATAAGAGAAGATCTACTAGGGTCTTTCCTCAGGAACTCAGAATTAATTTGTTTCCCTCTTGGTAGTGGACTGGTTCAGCACTGTGATTAAGGAACAAATGCAAATTCAGCTTGAATGAAACTAGCATACTAAGATGGATCCTAGATATGCTTCTAGACCTTGGTCTGTTTTTAATTTTTAAAATAGATTTGGGAAATATTTTTATGGGTGAGTGCCAGGATAATTATAATTCAGTTTTCTGTAATAATTATAGCTTTGCCTCTAATTTGAGTTGTCTGAGTTTTGAGCTGAACGTCTATAATGGAAGACCCTGATGGTCCCAGGAATTAGTTAGGTACCCTGCTCACTCTCCTTAATTCTTGTTAAACCCCATCTGAAAGATCACAGGCCTTGAATGCATGAATATAAATTTCTAAAAAGTAGTGATCCTTGGTTTGTGTGTTATTTTACATATACACAATTTTTAACTTCTCAGATTGATTATCCACTTGTGTTCTTTCTTCCCTATTCTTTGCCAACTTTTTAAAAATGAATAAGCTAAACAAAAGTAGACAGCATTGAGATAGTCATTTTGCTACTTGTTGAACATATTCTGGATGCTTTTCAGATTTTTAGATTTTATTTATTTATTTATTTATTTATTTATTTATTTATTTATTTATTTATTTAAGAGCAGAGGGGTGGGGTGGGGGGGAGAGAGAGAGCGAGAGAGCAAGGAAGGGGAGGTAGAGGGACAAGCTGACTCCACACAGAGTGTGGAGCCCAACTTGGAGCTCGATCTGACACCCCTGAGATCATGACCTGAGCCAAAATCAAGAGTTGGGTGCTTAACTGACTGAACCACCCTGGTGCCCCATGAGAATTCAGATTTTTAAAAATAACTTGTGGATTTCAGTGCTTCTTTTGTTTCCATTACCGTTGGGCCTTGCCCCTGAGAAACACACAGCCCAAGGGATTAATAATTACATAATGTTAATGTAAATATATATATATATTTTAAAGAATTTATTTATTTATTTATTTGAGAGAGAGGGTATGAGCAGGGGGAGGGGCTGAGGAAGAAGCAGACTCCCTGCCGAGCAGGCAGCCCAACCTGGGGCTCGGTCCCAGGACCCTGAGATCATGACCTGAGCCTAAGTCAGAGGCTTAATTGACTGAGCCACCCAGGTGCCCTGAAATGTATCTCAGCCATTTAAACAATTATATTTATAATGACAGGAGGGTTTGGGAGGCTGGGAGAGGAGAGTGCAGAAAAAGCAGTTGGCTGGTCTTCAAAAAGCATCTGTTTTATTGTATAACATACTTATCAGTGGGGCCACTTCCCTTTACCTATATGATTAATATCATAATCCCCCTAATTTCATAACCTGCGTTTATCCAAAACTCTCTCTCAAATTTCTTCAACATCCCGGGAGCCTGTATTTGCATGTTCTCCTCTGCCTTGTGGGTTCATGATCCTCACTTACCTCAGCCTCTCTCCAGTATCATAGAAGATCCATTCACAAATATACTCATGAAGAGAGGAGACTATACTGTATATTTTCAAGGAAAATGGGGGAGGTTTTTATAGATGAAACTTGTACAATCTCGGATAGGAGACCTCATCTTTTTAACCATGCACTTTGGCTGCTACTAGGGAGTTTCACTATCCTGAAGAGCATATCAATCTCCCTATCCTTTCTGTTTCTCTTTCTCTCCCTTTTTCTTTTCTGCTTCTCTTTGAGATCAATAAATTTCTCTACTCTTAAACAGAATTATTGTGCTTGTTAGTGCAAGCACAGATATTTGGGTGGCCACCTTTATCCTAAATGCTTAACAATGTACTGCTTCTGTGCCCTTAGGAGCGCGCTCGCATGTGGATCTAATGGAAGCCTACTCAGCTCTCTCTGTGTTCCTCATAAGACCATCTCTCTCCCAGTCTGTACTGCTTGCAGCAGGCCTTGGGGAAGCTCACGGGGTTCTGTGTCCTTCTTGTAAAACCACAGCTTCTTCAGCGACAGCGTCGCCCTCATGATTGGTATAAACTGCCAAAGAGACCAAACCGGGGGATGAGACAACCACAACTACCTCGTTCCCTTAAAAGAATACCAGTCCCATCATCCTTTAGACATTTGCCTCAATCACCCCCAGGACTCCAAGCCTTCCGGGTCACCTGTTATGACCTGGACATTCATTCCCATATGGCTCTGTGCATCTCTTCCTTTGACCCAGTCATTTCTTCTGTCAACAATCTTCATGGCTTTACAATCCACTTAGATGTCCCAGCAACATCCTTAATGATTTTTCTTGTTTTTACTTGGCCACCACTCAGATATTTCTCAGACTTTCAGATGCATCTGAATCTCTAAATAGAGATCTTGTGAAGATGCATTGCCTGATTCCAGGTGATATTGATGCTGCACTATGAGTAAAAATGTTCCTGATCGAGACTTTATTTTTCTTGGTGACTATACCATCTGCTTTGTATTCAGCTGGCAGAATCCCACTGCTGATTAAACTTAATTCTCCTTCTCTTCCATGCCCACAGTCACGTAGTGTATGGCTAGAGGAAAACATAGCTACCTTGTCAACAGTCTTACTCTCAGTTCACGGCCATCTTTCTCAAGTGGGCCCTCAGCCTTACCCACAATCCTGGCACGCTACCTACACATTTATTTTCCCTGGGATGACTATTTCACTTCTTCTCTCTCCTCAGATCTTCCCCCCTCTGCATCCTTAGCCAAAGATGGTCTCTTATTTCACTGAAAACAGATGCATTTGGAAGAGAACTATTTCATCTCTCTTCTACCATACCCCCCAAGCTCCTA